TTCTCAAACAAATCAATTAATATATACAATATATTTCATAATTATACTAATCATTACATATAAAAAAGCATTTATCAAAACATTCATTAATTATCGCTAACAATAAGTCCATTAGATTTTATCAATTTTAAAATATTTACATTTTTGCAAAATATTTACTAAAATTTATAATTAAAACATTAAGTTTAAATTTAGGTTAAATATAAATTAATGTCATTTAATAATAATCTCTAAAATACGTACTCATTGTCACCAAAACGTTGTCCGAAATGTGGCGTCCATTTGATGCACTTTAATACTGAATACAAATGGGAATTAAAATCTATGTCCAAATTTGCATTATTATTATTAAATGGATTCCAAGTCTGATGTAATGGCATGTCTGGTAAAGGACTGTCCGAAAAGTGCTTTTTATTACAAATAGTGTTTAGTGCTTATCATTAATATCCACTCATATTCTGTGAATATTCGGTAAAAATTGTGCACTTTTTTCATTATAAGCAGCAATTTATACATAATTATTAAATTCTTCAATCATTTATATTTGATATTATGTTTAATTTAAATGATAAGCTTTGTGTCATATATTTTCGATCACATATCAGCTTATAATCTAATTATTGGTAAATTATTTCAATCTCTATAACAATAATTTAGAGATTAAATCAAGATTTTTTTATTGAATAATTGGTCAGCATTTCAGTCGGTGTACTGAATGCTAAAATTGTTGATATATTATTAAATTTATTTAAAACCTGTTATTTATATATTATTAACAGTTATTAACATTATAAAGGTTTAACATGATTAAGGTTTACCGGTTAAACAGCTTAAGACTCAACAAATTACCTGAAAATCACTTTCTGTTTCAACAACAAAAAATTTAAGCGCAAAATTCAATCCATAGATTGAATTCAATTATTAGTGGATTTAAAAAGTCCTTTGGATTAAAATTGATTGAACACTAAAACAATTCACTCAATATGTGGTGTAAATGGTATTTGAAGTGAAAAAATAAATGTTTCGCGAAATTAAAAACAGAGAAATTAATCGCAAATTTGAGCGCATTTTGAAAAATGAATGCAAATATTGGTGGAAATGGACATAAAAGACATACTCTTTCCAGTTGTGTATCGTTTTGTTTGCTTCGATTGATTTCCCGATTATTACTATTGTTTCGGTTATTATTATTGTTGTTTCGCTGATTGTTATTAAAGTTGCGGTTATTCTGTTTGTTCTGATGGCCGGCACCGCCGCCTCCGCCCTGACGCCAGTTTCCGCCACCGCCTCCTCCCTGTCCGCCGCCGCGATTGCCTTTGTTATTGAAGCGCTTGTTGGGCGGGCCCTCCCAACCGCCCTGATTGCCGCGTTTGCCGGTCGGACCAGACATTGGCTGTAATGGCAACGCGTGAGAAACACACTTAACATAATCAACTGCTGACAGACATACGGGTCTCATATTGAATCCACCGCCGGGTCGGCGCTGTTGTTGCGGTTGATAGGAGTGTTGCATAGGGAGGGGTGCGGGCGCTCCCCAACCGCCGCCACCACCGCCTCCTCCGCCGCCAGTGTTCCTCATCTGCGGCGACACATTCCACGGCCCGCTCTGTCCGTACGCCTGTTGTCCGCCGTATTGGGGCGGCGGTGGAGGCGCGTGATTGTTGTGCCCATACATCGGCGGCGCCCCCGACGCCCACGGACTCGACTGACCGCCAAATCTATTCATCTTTTTGTCGGCGAATATCTGTCAGAAAGTAAACACAACACTCATTATAAGCATTCACTTAGCAATACATCCGTGTCATGTCATCCATTGTCTCCCATTTACTCACGTATTGTCTGTCAAATTGGTGTCAATTTAAATGTCAATTAAGTTTAATTGTATTTATAGTTAGTTTTGTTGATAAACCGATGGATTAGTTGTGGAGAAAAAATGATACCAAAAATCACATCCAAAATGGCGTTCAATCCGTTTGACGACTCTTTACCCCAAATGTCGACGTTTTTAATGTATAGACGAATGCATTGTTCGGTTCAACACTCACTCAATGTATGCTTCGGTCCATAAATTATGGTTTGGTTTTGCGGCTAATATTGAATATTGTATTGAGTGAAGGGTTTAATAGAGAAAATGCATCACAAATAGGGAGAGAGAGAGAGAGAGAGAGCGAGAGAGAGAGAATGAGTGAATGAATTGAACATTACTTTCAACGAGTAATGAACGCAAAGTGTATGGCATTGTTGTCAATACAAACTCTGTGCTAAAACTTGGAAACTTTTTAATGAAAACTTTTTAAGCGCTAATAAATCATTTGTAAATCACTTTTACATAATTATTTCGATAGCAATGGATATATTGAATAACTTTTTACAATGAATTGCAAACTTTAAGCGGATTTAATAGTTTGGTTTTAATACATGTATTGAATGAATAAATCATACATTCAATCAGAAAAGCTGTCAATTATATGCTTTTATACGACGATTAAAAAGTCTGTAACAAAAAAGCTTAAAAATGATTACAATTTGAAACTAGTTTTTGTTTTTCAATTTAAAATCCATTTGAGAGAAAATGTTTTCGCAAATTATCAGCTTTTCTACAAGTTTTTGTCCATTAGTGTGGAAATACGGGACAAACAAACCATAGTCTGGATGTCATAATAGAGGATGACATCCCGTATACGAGTTTCTGTGTCCCCAAAAAAACACATAACAATCTGAGACACAATTATAGATAATGTGTACCGGATTTGAGAAATCACTGCAAAGAATCTGATTCACTATCAAAGATAAATACAATGAAATGATAGTATAGTTTGTGGTCTGAAGAAAGAGTATTATTTTCTGGAAGAATAGGTTTCTCTCTATAGTTGAATGGATGCGAGGCTTTGGAGTGAATGAAAGAAAACGATGAATACTTATATTGAAAAACTTGTTTTCCATTTCACTTTCAGTGCTCCGCAAAAAACTGAACTTCAAATTAAAATTATAGTTATTTTGTTTTGACTACAAGTCTATTGTTTTCTTGAATTCATTTAAAAAACTTATTTCTCCGCACTATTCGTATCCACTCTTCGTATATATTTTGCAGTGAAATCAGTCATGACTTGAGCGGATCTGTCAAGAAGTAGTGACCCATTTCTATGGGTTGGTATAGGAGAGTGAGTGTAGAGTAATATTGCTGAAGAAGTACAGCAGGACCTGCCTGTGCACCCAACCCAACACAACTATCAACCCAATTGGTTGAGTCCAATATCTTTGTTCTCATACCTCAGGGCCTGTTATAAGAGCTGTTTAAGAGAGTTTTGGAGTGAAGGACCACATAAGCCAATCCCCAGCACCTGTACTACACTATAAGCCAATATTCTGAGACCTGTTTTCAGCGATTTCTTCAATTTTGAAACTTTTTCGCCTAAAAATCAAACAGATTTTGTGTCACATTATATGCTATCGAATAATAATTCCTTATTTATTAACTATTTTTATGCCACAAATTGTGCACTAAATATGTGCACAAAGTTATGAATAACATTGGTTTGGATCAAGTTTTGCAACACCAAGTGTTATAGGAGTTGTGGCAGTGATTCAAATATAATGCATTGGAAGTGCCATTGATTTGAGGCAAATATTTGTATAATTTTGGTCACATTTGTTGATACAATCCCTTTAAACGATGGATACGATAGATATGCCTGAAGTGAACGAAGAGAATCCCTTCATATACGGGATGTCTAAACAGTTTGTGAACGCATTGCACGAGTTGTTTGATATAATGGACAGCACGGGATCGGGTTGTGTCCGATTCGCTGAGATAGCGGCCCAATGGGAAGAGGACGACTCGGACCCCTTCTTCCCAAAGGGTCTCATCAATTGCTTATCCAAAGTGACACTTCCTAATGGTTTGCTCACATTTGATCGCTTCTGTGCCGGCATTAAGTTATGTCTACTTAAAAATCAAGTCGATATCAGCGGCAATAGTGATGACAACAATAATGGTATCGCTTCCCTATCAGCGCCTTCACCTGCCTTTCCCGCACCTCCGCCTCCACTGATGCCCAGCCCCGGGTCTCAGGAACCGGTGCCAACACTACCACCACTACCTCCACTGCCACCCCCTGTACCCCCTCATCAAACATCTCCAGCGATGATTGCGAAACCAATACCTCAGTCAGCGTACAATTCGTTACACAAAATAAAGACATCTGTTCCCAATCCTATACCAGAAGGTTTATACCAGAAAAAGCCAACGGCTTCCGTATCACCTGTTCCGCCACAATCACTGCATTCATTACAATCACTGCAAACACTACATAAAAGTGGTCCGCATAGCGATTATAACAGTTCCGACAGCTCTTCCACACAAAACTATCAAAGAGCTAAAAGTATGCCTCAATTGATGATCAAAACCAATGGAAATACTAATAATCACAACAACCAAGAGATCCGTCACTTCAAGAGCGACGCGAAACTCATTTCACGCGAGAGTAGCGCTCAAAACAATGGGAAGACTCGTCAGATTCGGTCTCCCATACAATCGGTGAAAGCGTTGTCCAAAAATTGTATTATGAAAACACTTCAGAACTGGAAGGAGAATGTGTTGGGAAAACAGGCCCTCGAGTTGGAAAAACTTAGCGCCAACTCTGGGAGCAGAGAGAATATTCTGGCCCCTAATGGAGACACTAATCGCAATAAATATCAGCAACAATTGGTCCCATTCCTGCCTCCGCCCCATAATATGGCACCCAATGGACCTGCGATGAGACGGGCGGCCAATAAACGCCGAGAGCCGCGACGGCATACCGTCGGCTCCAATGGCATTGACTTTTACTCGGTTTGATAATTGACGAGACAATAAACTCAATCTCTTTTATTCATATAAATTATTTTACAGATAAGAAGAATACAACAATTAGAACAGGAAAGAAGTTTATTCATGCAGGGCTTGGATGGCATCGATAGGGCCCGCGACTGGTATTTAAGACAAATAGCGATCATTCAGGACAAGATCAGTTACGTGACTAAAGTGGGCACATATCCGGCCGATTACACACTCGACGCCTATCAGGAGCGGATCAACTTCCAGGCGGCGAGAATTTACAATGTAAACCAACACCTGTCGGCACTCTATGACAGCGAACGTGGTTTTCCCATACATATGAATCTGGCTATCCGTCCCATTAGTGCACAGCTCACTATTAGACCCAATGATCCCAATAGACCGCAGTTTGTGGTCAATCCTAATGTTATGAATCGCTTGAAAGAGCAGAACCGACTGTTGACCGAAGAAGTGAGCAAAAAGTGCGACCGAATAACACAATTAGAGAGGGAAAAGTCGGCACTGATTCGGGAATTGTTTCAATCCCGCACTCAGACCATCACTAAAGTTAAGACCGACACCACAGCAGAGGACACGACTTTCATGTAAACTTCAAATCAAAATTCAGTGCATAAGATATGGCATTCAGAGTGCATTCATAGCATTTATCGTTTCATATAAACCCCGGTTTTAAATATTGGAAACACTGTTTTAGATGTAAATTAAACTAGTTAATTGTATTTCGATAAATACCTCATTATTATAATAATTAAATATTAATATTATATTAATATTAATACTATATTTTGTATTTCAATATTAATTTATATATATTCTGTAAATGTATAAATAATTGCAATAATTGGTAATTGAATTATAATTAATTTATTGTTTGTAAAAAACCATTCAATGAGAGCTTAGTTTTAAAAATGGTTTTTAAAACTTATTTATGCAATATTTAAGTCCAGAATAAATGATTAAAAACACAATTTTCAATCAACAAAACAAATTAAACTATAAAAGCAAACATGTCTTTCTCTAAGCCTTGACAGCAGCACCGGTAGGGCCTGTTTGCGCTGTCTTCTGCTGTAACTGTTGCTGCAGTTTAGTCACCACTTCTCGTTGCTGTTCTTGTTTTTCGCTTAAATCACTGATCACTGTGTCGTGTCTTTTGCTAAACATCAACAAAAACATCATTTTATTACAGCAGATATCCAGTGTCACGATGTCATCAGTGGAAGCGATTCAGAAAGAGAGAGAGAGAGAGAGAGAGAGAGAGAGAGAGAGAGAGAGAGACATACATTTCTTCGGAGATGTATTTGATCCGAGAGTTGACATTATCTTTAGCTTCCTTTAAGTCAATACTCATGAGCAGAGGTCCGACCAATTTGTAAGTCTTGGCCCCGTCTTCCAGTAAATCCATTTCCTGTCAACAAAAATACAGACATTAAGACACAAACGTATGGACGATATGATAGCCATGAGTGGAGTGGATGTACTTCTTTGACAATATTATTCTCGTTGAGCTGTGAATCCAATTGTTGTCTCAAATGCAATGTCTTTTGGTATGACTTCTGGAGTTCACCAAATTTGGTGATCTCGTCAGACAAGTGCTTCTGAATCGCTTCCACTGATGACATCGTGACACTGGATATCTGCTGTAACTGTGGATCAGTTGCGAGACAATGAATGCCTTTAAATGGTAACCAAATTTAAACCACAATTAATAACATGTGCTTTAAATGCAACACAAAATAACACAAAACCTAACACTTTGTGTTGATATTCACCGCTTAATAATCGTCACGTAATTTGTGAACGCATTCAACTGTTTTGACACCAAAAATGAGTCATAATTTATGAGTAATAAACAAATTGTTGGAAACGAATCGTCATTTCGTGTAAAGCGTAACGAATTTTCAGACTTGAAATCGAGTCCCCGTTTGCGACACAAATCGAGTGCATTTGTATGCGTTATAGGCGTTCAACACTCGCCACCCATTCAGTGCCCCCTTCTATGCCCTACTCCTCCACTCATACGACACTGTATTGAATGCATTGACTGTTTTGAACGCCAATTGAAATACTATTGCAAAGCATTTGATGTCAAGTATTATTGCATTGAGTTATTGAGTGTTACAGCGATTGTCATGTAATCCATACACAAACCGATGCCGAGGTTTTGCCACAAAATGTGATTATAATTATCGCAACACATTTTGGCCGATCAACTGGAAGTGCTGTCTGTGTGTGTCTGTCAAGTGGTTGTAGTAGTAGTGGTAGAGAAGAAGCAGCAGTTGTGGTGATGTCTTCGTTAGGCTTTGGCCGATACTCTCACGCGATTGTATCGCGTATTAATAATCGTCACGTAATTTGTGAACGCATTCAACTGTTTTGACACCAAAAATGAGTCATAATTTATGAGTAATAAACAAATTGTTGGAAACGAATCGTCATTTCGTGTAAAGCGTAACGAATTTTGAGACTCGAAATCGAGTCCCCGTTTGCGACACAAATCGAGTGCATTTGTATGCGTTAGAGGCGGCCAACACTCGCCCATTCAGTGCCCCCTTCTATGCCCTACACCTCCACTCATACGACACTGTATTGAATGCATCGACTGTTTTGAACGCCAATTGAAACACTATTGCAAAGCATTTGATGTCAAGTATTATTGCATTGAGTTATTGAGTGTTACAGCGATTGTCATGTAATCCATACACAAACCGATGCCCAGGTTTTGCCACAAAATGTGATTATAATTATCGCAACACATTTTGGCCCATCAACTGGAAGTGCTGTCTGTGTGTGTCTGTCAAGTGGTTGTAGTAGTAGTGGTAGAGAAGAAGCAGCAGTTGTGGTGATGTCTTCGTTAGGCTTTGGCCGATACTCTCACGCGATTGTATCGCGTATTCCGGACTCGTTTGTCAAATCGTTGGGCACTTCCGACACGATTAATGTGGAGGAAGCGAAGAGAGAGCACGAAGAGTACTGCAAAGTGTTGAGAGCACTCGGTTTGGATGTCATAGAGTTGGCCGCAGACGAGGCCTTTCCCGACTCGCCCTTCGTTGAGGACACGGCTGTCGTCATCAATGGTATGTGTCTTGTGTTGTGTCCGCACATCACTTGTCAACCAATCGGTCACTTCTTGTATAACATGTATTGTGGTGTTTGACAGGTGTGGCCCTAATGTGCAAACCGGGTCATCCATCCCGTGCTAAAGAGGTATGTCTTGTGCTGTCCTTTGCTTTAGTTTTATTTTTGCATTTTTCGTTAAAATATGTTTGAAAGTTTTGTTATCATTTTTGTGATAAATTGTATGCATTTCTAATAAATTGCATAATTTTTGCGGAATTTTATGATTAAGAGATTTTATGACATTTGATACCAAGTTTTGTGTGAAAGAAATACTGGTTTTGTTTTTTGATTGAATATAAATCGTTGATTACAATCAGAAAAGGGCGTCAATTGTTGTGTCAAAAAAGTAATATACATTTAAATGAGGGAAAAGTTTTGGCGTGAATTTGTGGTGTAAATGAATGCCAATTGAGTTAAAGTTTTAAGACATCCGTAAATATACATGAGATGTGATGGCTTGTTATCAGAGAAGCATTGAATGCTATTTTGTATTATTAAGCCATATATTGATAATTGGGTTAATGTTTAAACAATACCACGAAATAGGTTTCCAAGCGATCGAGTGTTTGCTTTTGCCGATAAAAGAGATACGAAAACTATTTTCATACGATTTTCGTATGAGTTTTGCAATTATCAGTCTCTGGTTCTCACATCACAAACCATAATATCATATAATTTTATTCGTGGAAAACACATACCATTTGTCGCCCAAACAAACAAATAAAATTTTGATCTCATGACTAGTATTCGTCCGACACTTGCAATGAGTTCTCAAATTAATTGAATACAGAATTTATTATATAATAGGAGTGTTTGAATAAACAAGTGTTTAGTTGTTTGAGTGCTATTTCCGAAATATATCTCATGACTAGTATTCGTCCGACACTTGCAATGAGTTCTCAAATTAATTGAATACAGAATTTATTATATAATAGGAGTGTTTGAATAAACAAGTGTTTAGTTGTTTGAGTGCTATTTCCGAAATATGTAGTTAAAAAGCAATGAGTTTTAAGTATAAATGGGTTTTTGTTCGTATATTAAAACTGAACGCCCTTTGAATGCCTGACATAATTAATCCAAGAGATGGTCTATTAATCAGATAATACCATAATTGGGGTGAAATTCATGACTTTTAGCCGCAATTATAGTGAACTACAATATTATTAAATAAATTATATATTTTTTTCTAAACAAACAAAAAACTTATTTAACAAATGATGATATTTTTATTATAACATAATATTATTATGTTTTTAATGATTTGTTTGAATACACAAAAAAGAGTTTATCGATTGCCGCAAATGAATGAATCGTTTTTAATAAATTAGTTTTTAATGCATTCGTAGCTATAATTATATTTATACTCGTTTTTCACATAATTATTTCTATATTTATATATTAACTCAATAAACAACATACTTAACTTACTAATCTAATATATATAAAGTTATGTTTACTATCCAGCTGTGTTAAGCTCGTTATTAATTCTTTCTCGAATTTGACGGCCAGTAACAGATCGCAGACCCAAAGGCCACTCTCGATGGCGGAGACGTCTTATTTACCGGTATTTTTGCTTATCTTTAACTAAACAAAAGAATTGCATTTTTATACTCAAACAAAATGTGTTGACAATAATGACAACAATAGGTCGCGAATTATTTGTGGGACTTTCGCAGCGCACCAACGAGTCGGGCGCCAGAGCTGTCGCCGCAGCCTTTCCTGAATATCCCGTCACTCCTATACGAATCCCAAACAAATTACTGCATTTAAAGTCATGCCTATCAATGGCCGGCTCTGATATCCTTTGCGTCAGTTCATCACAAGAAGCACAAGAGATTCTTCGAGTAAGTGAACCAATATTTGACAAGTTTTCCCCTTAAATTACACCAAATATTGATTGCATTGACAGCGAATAGTACGTGAGGCCACACATCGATACCACACACTGACTGTTCCCGAGAATACAGCGGCCAATACTCTGTATATCAATGGAACTTTAGGTAAGAGTTTGTATTGAATTTATAAATAACAAACTAATAACGATTGTCTGTTTCAGTTCACAGATCAGAGTTTCCAAACTGTTGCGAATTATTTGAGTCTAAAATCGATTTCAATAAGATTGGGATCAAGATATGGGAGCTCTCGAAGCCCGTGTCAAACCTCACCAGTCTATCAATACTCGTGCGTAAAGCGCGACAAATACATACCATTGTTTGATTTGGTGGTCATTTGTTTTATTCAATCATTTATTTGGCATTTTTATCATATATTTTCCAATTATTATTATTTTTCTAAATAGAATTATTGCAACAAAAGCTGGTTTTTAATAATCAGAAAAATTACAATTTATTTAAAACATATTTTAAAAATATAATATTTAATAATTATCACATTTATTATCTCAGTTATGGTCAACAGTATTATTAAATGTGATATTTATATACAACTTCTACTACTGTTAAGCTTTAAATATACTTATTTACGAGGATTTTTGGCGAACAATTCAAGTCTCTGTCAATTAATTGATTAATTCGTGCCTTTTATTACTATTTGAAAAACCGGTTAATTATATATATTTAAAAAGTTTTTTAGATTTGCGACAAATATTTATATTTCAATGATATCTTTAACTTAATTATCATTTCATTTGTAATTAGTTTTATTTAGTGATTCACCGCTCAATTCAATCTAAACTAAACTATTATTTAGTGTTGTTTTGCAAATAATTAGCGCATATTTAGTAAAAATATATGATTTATATAAAAAGTATATATAATTAAGTTATTATAAAAGATGTTGTCATTTATTGTCCATAAAATGTCTCGAAAATGACTTTAATTAAACACTTCCTTAAATGTGTGCCGAAAATACATTGCATTTGAATGTCGTCTGAGTATTACCTAAAAATACTTTCAGTTTTGTATCATTTTCTTATGTGAATCATAGATATATCGCTTAAATTGTAATAAAGCCTTAATTTGTGTATTATTTGAATTTTCATTATTCGTCTGCTTTTTCTTTGAGCTCGAAATGAGACTCTTATCCTGAATACCATTTGGTATCCGAACCTTGACTTTCCCGCTTTGGCCGAACCCGCCGTCAATCACTCCCTCATCGCCCGAACTCAACACCACTCGAAGGCCGACAAAATTCTGGACATTTGTCTCCTTTTTGAGCAAATTTTTGACAATCACTTCGTATTCATTGGAAATTCTGTCAACGATTCCCTCTTTTGATTTCATTTTAAAAATCTTGACATTTTGTAAATCATTTTCCGCGTAATTCTTATCGCAAAATGTCTTCAGAATATTGCCATAAAAGGCGAGACGACAGACATTGGCGTGAATATCGGTGTCGAGCTTTGAGGCGATATATAGCGCACCCGTATTCAAGATGACCGGCCGTTCAAACTCTAATAACACGAAGTATTGTTTCGGATCAAAGTCTTTGTCCAACTCTTCCACATAACTATATTGTCTTTCAAAATCAAAACTATTGTCGCAATTGTTTGTCGACTGGTCTGTGATCTTAAAGAAAGTACTTTTGGCGATAACTGTCTCGTGAAGAACACTGATGTGGAACTTGGCTTTCGTCGCATACTTTCCCTTATAATAAGCAATTGTGTTAAGGCTTGCGATCACCGCATAGACAGCGGACATAAAGCCAGGCGAAGACTGCTGAGGGGCAAGGTCATCAAACCCTAGTTTAACACACTGTGTTTGTGGCTGAGATAGCGGGACTTACCGAGATAGTTAGAAGACCACTTTGTAAACGTAACTAAAGTGAAAAAATTACCAAAAGTATGATGGGATCTCTATATTCTGAAGACAGATAATGAAAGACATGTAAATTAAAAGATATTGCCTTTAAATTAATAACATATTCGTAAATATAATATTCTTCAAAGCCTTACATCATTGACAGCAATTGATCCCTGGATTATAGTTCCAGTCAATACAGTGCCGGAACCGCGGATTGAAAAGCAATGGTCAACCGATAGGATCAGCTCTCCTTTTGGACTCCGTTTTGGATAAGAGATTTGTTGACAAATTGTGTTCAACAAAGCCTCGATTCCAATGGCATCACTAATGACATCACTTTCAACGCTTCCCGCGGTGTTGGCGTTGTGTTCATTCTGATCGGTCGGATGTGCGGCCACTGCTATAATGGGCGCCGATTTGAATCTCGTATTTTCTAATGTCTTTGCGATCCTTTTGGACATCTTCTCGACGGCAATCTCGCGCTTATTCTCGGGAATCAAATCCACTTTATTTAAAGCGACGACCAGTTTGTCGCAAGTGATGGCTCCGATCACCAGACACTCGGCTGTCTGGGTCTGAATGCCTTTCATCACATCCACCACCAGAACCATAATGTCGATGATCTGAGCGCCGCCAACGATGGTCTTAATGAGCGACGAGTGTCCGGGACAGTCCACGAATGTCATCTGCAGTGTCCAATCACTGGTCACCGCATCTGTGCCGCCGACGCCCGCGGCTAACGGATCCGTCTCTGGTATGAGATGTTTGGGACACGACATCCGCACCGAAGAGAAGCCCAAATCAATGGTTATCCCTCTCTCACGGCTTTGAGGGCTCTTATCATAACAAGACGTGGACTGAGTTGTGGACAAAGCTTTGGCCAGAGATGTCTTCCCGCTGTCGATGTGTCCCAAAAGACCCACATTTATGTTCAATACCTTCGATGACATGATATTTGGCCACAAAAACAGAAAACATTAAACACTGAATGAATTGAAAACAATAACCAAAACAATAACTCAAGACATAAGACATGTGTTGAAGTGTTTGCAAACATATTTCGTCATTCAATACGTCAGACAAATGGCATTTCATCACAAGTTTTGGCACAAAAAAAAGTTTTTAAAAGTTTTTTTTGCGAAACATATTTAAATTGTCACTCAATTGTCACATCACTTCTCAAATACCACTCATTATTACTGTATTTAAATCTACGGTATATTAAAATAGGCGTTGAATTGAAGAGTGAATGCAAACGATGCGAAACTTAAACAATTAATTGATCCCATATTTGGGTCATCGATGGGCTCTCGCTGTTCAATGCATACCAATTGATGACAATATTGTCGTTTGGGAACAGATGGTCAGCGATGTATACATTTGTCATACAATTAGCATAATATTTATATCTCACTCTTTATATACTTACTGTACAATTGTTTATTTAATTGGATTTACAGAAAAAGTAATCAATAAATTGATGGACAGGGGGTGTGTATACAGCGGTAGTCTTTACATTATACGGTATATCAATCGACTGTGACATCAATTATTGCCAAAGACGTGATATATATAAATGCGAGACTCGTTGCCCACGACTGCAGGTGTCATACAATGAAAAGTGTTGAGACGATTATATCTATAGATATAATTGTGATCCCAAGGCCTGAGTCAAGTCATGCGTAACATTCGTCTTAAAGCGGTCCATAAATTGTGATCTTTCTGCTGATTATCAACAGATAATTAATAGTTTGAGACAAAATGATTGACATTTTTTGTTTGTGATATTTATTAAGAAAAATATGAGTTAAGAATATACAAGAAGAAAACGTAACTTGTTAAGCACATTAATTTTTTATACTTATGAAAATTTCAATCGCAAATTTTGTCATTACGAAACTAAGCAAGTTAACGAGTGTTCTTTTTGACTTAATATATAATTAACAATTGTTTATATATCGCAAACATAATTTGATTACAAAACAAAACCAATTTTTAACATTACATTTCACTTTACTTTCTGTATTTGTTTTTTTAAGTATATCTCACCGAATGTTAATTCAACTATTTTTTGACACATTATGTGAAACACAGATTAAAAATATGTTTTAATATAAAAAATGGAAATAAAAATTAATATCATATTTAAATTCATTAAAAACAAACAAAATTAAACGGAATCTAAAGGGAATGACATTAATAGAGGGGAAAGACATGGCGTGGAAATCAGTGGATCAGTTGGGAAGTGCCCAAAGAGTGGCACATTTATCAGCACTGGTGGTGAGGAATGAGAAGTCGTACGGATGCCATCGGCCCTGAATTACTTTATCGGAGTGTTCGGCCACTACTATACTGGGCAACGGTTGGGTGAGGTCTCCCTGGAGATCAGTCAACACAACCTTATTATCGTAACCGCCGGTCAATAGATAGTAGGCTTTGTTCGAGAAGCGAATGGTCCGGATGTCGGACGAGTGCCCAACCTTACAGACATACTAAGCTGGCGGAGACTACAGTATATTGTACGTTAAGCTCAGAAGCACAGGCCTCTGGTCGTCAAACGGGCTGCCCAGGTGTGTATGCCGGCGGTGTCGCGAAGGATATCATGAGCAAAATGTTGACAATTAGTACTGCAATCAAAAACAACAACATTGACAACAAATGTATTACCCGGTCCTTTGCCTGAGGCGGACGGCGCTGTAATCAGATTAACGCATCCACGAGTTCTCAGATCCCAGAAGCGAATAGTCCTGTCCTGAGAGCCGCTCACAAACATAGCGCCGCCCCACGTGTGCAGCGAAAGGATATTGCCTACAAATACAGCACTACATTAATAACTGGCCTAACTTTCAAAGTGACCGAATCGAACCCGAATGGCCGGACAGGGCCTGGAATGGTGTCATAGTATCGCAATCAGTGACATATATTTTGCAATCGCCGGCACCGCCAGAGATGAGAAGACTGGACCTATTGGACAGGTCCTCCATGAAGCACATGTCGCGCACAGTACCATCATGCATTGTCAACTCGGCCTCTCCGCCCTCCAACTCGTTGGTCATACCATTAAATCTCATCATTTTTATAGTCTTATCATTAGAACCGGTGGCCAACAGATCTCCGGTCGTATTCCAGGCCAAGCTTTATATACAATAGCCGTTAATATCCGTAAATATATTAAAATAAACGCAAATCACATACCAATAGATGCTTCCCTTGTGGTGCTTAACCCGTTTCGAGAGAACACTTGGCTGATGGGGCACATGATCTTCCCTATAACACCACAATTCAATTCATCATTAATTTATACAGCATTTTAAATATAAATTAATTTAACGATTTGCTACATATAATCGCATTGTGTAAACAATATCCATATGTTTGTATTGTAATTGAATGGTAAAAATACCTCAAACTCCTTAATTCGTGTGATTTAGGGTAACCGCAGATTCTCAATGTCTTAGAGTTGGATCCGTACCGTATCTCGACAGGTAACCCTACCTTAAGTCGCCGCGCATACCGGACACGCAGGAGCTCAGCCCATTAGCCGTGCTTCACTCCGAATGCAGGCGGGTTTAGTCGGCTTGACAGGCTATCTCGCGTCCTGTAGGACGAGTTGGGGCCGTGCTATACATGAATGGGCGCACAGAATGAATAAATTAATTAAATTTTGAGAAATCAAATATTATTAATAGCTATTTTTGAAAGTCATTTCACAGAATATATTTATGTTTGCATTGAATTGTGTGATAGCGTAGGCGATAGTGAAGGTTGTGATAGAAGTTTGCAAAAACATTATATAATTTTATATTTAAAAGGATTGCAAATAATTGAAACACAATTCAAGGCCAGAGAGTGAACAAAGAGGCGACGGAAAGGAAAGTATGGAATTAATTAAATTGACGATTCAATCGACAGGTATTTTTTGAGTGGTAGTTAAAAAAAAGTGAGAAAACACAAGGAATTCAAACAATTTTACACACATTTCCGATACATTTGCATATTTTAGAGTTAAGTTTCATATTTGCAGATCAATTGGTGATAGAAATTGTTAGCAAATTTAGGAAATCATTTCGTTGTGAGAGAAAACGACGTTTCGATCAAATACTGGGTTTGAAGTGAAATACTGATTGCATTGAGACATCTGTGCTGTTATTACACACACATTGAGGTATTAGGAGATAGAGATACAGTGGAGATAGAGATACAGTGGAGATAAATATAAGACCAAAATTACATTATATAACAACAATAGCTGCCAATTGTTTGGCGCATTCAAGCGTGGCTTCAATTAAGGGGTTTTGTTGTGCCACACAATTGGGGGTGAATTTGTGTTAAATTAAAATCAAAGACAATTATACGGTAGTAAACCAGTAGAGAATGAAATGGCATTACAAACACTGCTTGTTATAAATCATTCAATGCATACATAGTCTAAATTTATCGTATAATTTATGGTTAAGTTATGAATTAAATATAATATTAACTATAACTGTATATAACTTAAGAGAAATAAAAAGACAATTTTTTCACATAAAACAAAGACATTAGCCTTTCTTATTGTATAAGAGCTCTGGAAATACAGAGAGACTAACCATTGCAGTAACAAAAGCGTGTCATAAGAGCTGTCAAATCCTATTTATTAATAACATATTTAACTGTTAAATATAATCAATATCTTTTCGATAACTCTTTGCGTGTGTTTCTCACACATAGTCTTCTTCTTTGCATTCAATGCCGACATTATTTACATTAATGAAGAGTTTGAGTATTCATGCGATTAAATGAAGAAAACGGTCCGCAACTCATTTCTCGCATCAATCAATTACTCTATAATTATATCATTAAGTTATCAACAAATGTCTTAATATTTGCTCTAAAAACTCATTTGAATAAACGATTTAAATTAGTTTTCATCAATAATTACTACACTTCAGGAATGAGATTATTAATTAAATAACGAGACCGTCGAGTGTTATAGTCATGGGATTAGTTAATCCTCGGATTAGGACTTACGAGATGACGGAAAGGCGGACCCACGGCCTCGTGTAGTATCAAAGGCGCATCATTTCTGTATGGATGGGAGGAATAGGCGTTAGGATCGGGGGATAAGGATGTGTCAAAAGGGGACGCGTAGTGGTCATACGGAGTGTCACTTCGGCCGCTAATGGATCCGCTGCTGACCGAGTCGTTGCCGCCGCTGTAATGGACACGCTTTGTGGGCGCCAGGAATTGGCGTTCAGTTGTATTGTAGTAACTGTTGCTGTGCTCTCGTATACTATCGTCAAAATCTGGATTATTGTAAGACTTATCGAAATATTCGTCAAATCTTTCGAAAGGATCCGAAGATCTGCCATAATTTGTGGGCTCATAAGTACTCGTATGTGTCTTATTGCCCAAATCCAACCGATTAATGGCCGAGTTATTAAAGTCGACGCCAGCTTTGGTGGGCGGCGCGCCGTATAAGTACTTTGACGTACAATAGCTTCCGTGCGGGTCGTCATCCCTCCACTCCTTATGGAAGTAATCGGTATTACATTCCCTGTCCGTCACATATGACTTATATTTCGGTGACGAATACATCGCGAATATTATTAATTAGCTCTTAGGACACAATCAAAGATACAGTAGTGACTCGTTTGGCGGACTTTTAGTCTCAACAAAAAAACTAAACAAAAAATTATACGGTATTTAAGTCTGGAGTTTAAAGCAAACAATTTTTACGAAGTGATGCGAATTGTTATGGTTTAAAGACTTTTCACAATACAAAACAGTTGTCTTTATAGGAATCAAAACAATCTATAAAAGCTATAAATGGTATCAAAATACTGTATAGCGAAACAGTGGGTAAACAAAACCTTCATTCAAATCAAATGGTTTGACTGTCGGACCGAAAATAGCGTAAAGAATTAATACGCAAACCAACGGCTGTTTGTATTGTGAATAAGTCTTATTAAACCATAGGATTCGCTACGACTAACGGATTGATTGAATATTTTTGTGCAGATTTGAAACACAATCTGAAGACAAAAACCTCTTTTCCTATTATTAGAGGAATATATGGAATAAACAATTTGTGTGTCGAGAAAACAGACCGAAAAAATATATTAATAATAAAACATTGATTCCATAAAATCACAATTGATTGGCGAAACACAATAACCGATAGACCAGTGATTGATATCTGAAAGACTGGTATTGACAGCAGAAAAGATAACTTTTGGACTTTTTATAGTAAATCAAACGATGATATTGAGTGTGAGTGGGAGTAGAAAATATAGTCAAAGCATTCAGTTTTGCTATCATTTAAATAAATAATTACCGATAAGAGTGAACATAACAAACGATAAGAGGAGTTAAGTCTTAAGATTGTTTTGGGTATTAAAAAATACTCAAAGGAAAGCAATTAGTTTATTATACACTTTACACACATGATTGAAAGTGTGTGTGTTTTTCAATGGGGAATGACGGCTATTTGAGGATATGATGCACAGGTGCTGTCGTTTTAATTAATAGCATTCATTCTCGCCTACGGATCCCAAACATCTTAAGGTCGCACTTGAATCCGAGCGTAACATTGAAATCAAATCAAACACCGATTTGTTGTGATATAATAACAATACAATACGAGTGTATAGTAAACACTCGTCTCAAAACATTACACTTAAATATCACTTAATATCTAATTTCGGGGAATTAAGCCAACAAAAGCCAAATGCCTATTATTTACAGCATTCCCGCATTTAAAATGCATATTTTTGAATGTAAAACAATTATTATTTAATTTTTATTTTCTTATTTTAAACGCATATTTCATATCCATTTTTAGTGAAGTAAAGCATTTTAAGTATCTCTACATTAGCTCTATGTCTATATTAAGTCTTATATCCGCAAAGAAACAAAACAAAATTGTTTCTTATGTTTGAAATGAGTTTATTTTTGTAAAATTGTTACATAAATCTCAGCATTGGTTTAATATAAATCCCAAACGACATAAACTTAATATAGGCGCAGAAAAATGGGGATTAAATTTCAATCAAATTATGTCATCTTTTGTTACAATTCAATCCCATTTCCACGAATTGAATATAAATACCGTTTCGTTTGTATTATTATTTTACTTTCAATTCATATTCAATGGAAACAAATTGTTTCAAATATTTAATGTATTGTTTTTACTAAAAAATGACAATTTTATTATCAAATAACATAAAGGTTTTCCTTTGATTAGAAACTATTTGCTATTAAAAAACCAATAGATATATAATATTATTATGTTTATCGTGTAATTGTACTGCAAATAACTAAAGGGACAACAGTTTGTGTTAGCGTTACTCCCAATTCCTAGTAAAACAAATATGAAAATTATATTTTGTTGTGTAATTAAAGCTAAACTCAATGTCAGAGAAAAATATTTATATTTTCAATAAGATTTTTGCATTCATTAGCGAATCGTCGAGAATATGAGTTGGATTTGAATGAAACATTCAAAACATTTATCAATGTTTTCAATGAAAAAACCTTTTTTATTGCACAGAAACTCCTTAAGATTGATGCAAATTATAAGCACACCAGTAATGCACTGGCATTTATAGCACAGGTAGTGAAATATTGTGCTAATAATACTTAAAATCCTATTTAAAACCCTAATATTATATATAATTCCTGTATTCAGAGTCAAGTGATAACAACAGTAACGCAAAAAACGCTAAATGAATGGGTGTTTAGGGCTTTGGTATATCTTATGAACACTGACTTTGATTAGCGATAAATATATTAAATTTTGTTTGTTTTGATAATTGAGATCATGAGGTAATTATAAATTAATATAATAAATGTTAAACATTTTCTCTTTTTAAATTCAATTAAAACCACAAACAAAACTGAATATATTTAATAATCACACAAATTGTAATCGGATTTGTTTTGTATAAACACTTAAAATCAATGACTAATAAAAATATCAATTGATATGATGTCTGACAACAGGAAAAGATAAATATTTAGGAAAAATTAATTATAAAAAACAAAAGAAACGTTAAATTATTCAAAACATTCAAAACTAAAATGTATGCAAATATTAATATATTTGTGATGTTTAGCACGTCTAGTGTTAAAACTTCAATATATAAATATCTAAATTCTTGTGTCGGTACTAAACGTTAGACTAAACACTCGAGTGAACACAAGTTTTATGTATCGTATAATTTTTGGTGTAATAACAATCAATTTAATTAAAACCTATTTATGTTTTTAGGAAAACTCATGTATCGATTGAATTATACATAAATACAACACAGAGTTATTTAAAGTGATTATATTGTGTAACAAAATAGAAAAAATCTATTTTTGATAATAAATTATTATTAATAATAATATTGTTTATAAATTTTGATTTAAAAGATAGACATTTGGATAGAAAAAAGAGGAAAAGAAAAGTGAAAAATATGTTCAAAATTCAAAGCATGTTTCTCTCAAATTATTCGAGCGATTAAACTGAAGGCAATAAATATCAATAAAATACAAACTCTATCTGAGATATAATTAATGTTTGAATTGTTTAGCATTTGCATCATAAGAGTTATTGCCATTAATTTATTATTAGATTTAATTCCGATTATCTCTAGAATCTCTGTCCGACACACAAAACAACACTAATTCAGAGGTAATTAACGAATGATTGAATGGAGAGTTACTGTAGTTTTATATACAGACTATTAGAGCAAAGTGTGTATCAATTGACTACTGAATTATATTTGGTGTAAAAAATTGCGATTCTTTGCCATTAGTTGTGATTTAGATTTATTACACCTAATGTTAAAAGTTGTGCCAATTCTTGGATTTTAAAAACACATTTGAAACGAAAGATTTAGAAAATTATATTTATTGTCGAATGTATTTCTCAAAAAAAATACGGAAAAATAATTTTCTCTCAACAAATGAATAGATTTAAAGAAGTAATTGATAGTCGAGTCAGAGAAGAGAAAAAAGAGAATTATAGTAATAAAGACATAATAATTCATTAGTTAACTTAAGTTTGGCTTTAAATAACAATCCGACTCTTATTAGACGCGTGAGAGTGGATGGGAATGGCGTGAAAGGGAAACCGTCTTTAATGGGAGATAAAGAAATGGCTTAAAGAATAACTGCTCGCAAAACACACTAAAACAAACACATGATTCGCGTGTTATATATGTGAACAAAATATGACTTAATAGTCATAACATGAGAGAGAGAGAGAGTTTATATGACAATAAGTGAAGGCGAGCGTCAATTATGTGGCGTTCAGCCGAACGNGAGAGAGAGAGAGAGAGAGAGAGCGCGCGCTATGATAAGTGTGATAGCTATGAGGAGCACTTACATGACAGCTACGAAGTGATAACGTGGACTGACTTAATACGGGTATTCGGGAATAGCTGTCACTATTGGATGAGTTGAGACTACTCGACAAACTCGTGTTTCTCAGTTTAATTGCTTCTCTCATCGGACAGATGCGGAAGTGATGCAAATGTGGCGATCGTTCGGCTGAACGCCACATAATTGACGCTCGCCTTCACTTATTGTCATATAAACTCTTCAATTGTCTCAACGATTTCTTTCATTAAGTCTTTTAATAATACAGAAAAACGAGAGATCCTTTGAGTGGAAGTCACAGCTGTTATTACTTTGCAATCAATACATGCATTTGCTTCAAATGTCTAGTCATTTAAAATCAAACATAGTTTGTGGCAAAATGTATCTCAATATGGATTTATTGAAAACATCACTCATCTATTAAAGCGATCAATAAATCAGTTTTTGATTCAATCGTCAACAGAATATATAATTTATATTCAATTTTATACTCAATATTAACTCCCAGTTTGGAAATCATATAAACACAACAGTTTTAAACAGAATTAGTATTTAATTGACGTGAAAAAAGTGTTACTTTTTATTGCATAAAAAACAGTTAAAAACACTTTTATCACAATTTGTGTTAAATATATATTAAAACAAACAGACGACAAACTCGTGTTTCTCAGTTTAATTGCTTCTCTCATCGGACAGATGCGGAAGTGATGCAAATGTGGCGATCGTTCGGCTGAACGCCACATAATTGACGCTCGCCTTCACTTATTGTCATATAAAGTCTTTCAACGATTTCTTTCATTAAGTCTTTTAATAATACAGAAAACGAGAGATCCTTTGAGTGGAAGTCACAGCTGTTATTACTTTGCAATCAATACATGCATTTGCTTCAAATGTCTAGTCATTTAAACTCAAACATAGTTTGTGGCAAAATGTATCTCAATATGGATTTATTGAAAACATCACTCATCTATTAAAGCAATCAATAAATCAGTTTTTGATTCAATCGTCAACAGAATATATAATTTATATTCAATTTTATACTCAATATTAACTCCCAGTTTGGAAGTCATACAAACACAACAGTTTTAAACAGAATTAGTATTTAATTGACGTGAAAAAAGTGTTACTTTTTATTGCATAAAAAACAGTTAAAAACACTTTTATCACAATTTGTGTTAAATATATATTAAAACAAACAGCTATTTTATTCGTACTATTGTTTGTATTTTAATGATTAAAATCTATTTGAAATATCATTTCATACAATATAAAAACTAGCGATAAGTCTGCGGTTTTTGTTATAATAAGTGTATATTTGCGGTGATATTACATTATATTGTAATTTATTGCTAATATTATATTAATAAATGCATGAAACGGTCATAAAGGGGGCCAATCAGGCATCGCATCGATTGTTTTCAATACTAAAAGACAAATATCGTGCCATTCGGGCGACAAGAAGAGACATACAGTACAGCGAGTAGTGATATTATAGCCTTGCATTCGTTAGGGCATCATATCGTCCTTCCAGTGCCAGCAAAACAATTGATCCCATAATACATGGACTTAACAACACATCTCCTCATAAATCTTTTTCTTCCGAAAAATATTCACGAAATTACATGAATATAATTCACGAAAAGTCAGGCAATTGGCGGCCCTGAAAGACAGGTGCGACTTATCATCCTTTAGCTAAACAGAGAAAGCCATAGAAAGCCATACATTCGCCACTAAATGCCTCATATTTTTGGTAACATTGTCTAAAATTGGATAACGAAACAGAAATTGTATGCAAAAAATAGTGTACATAATGTTTATCGAACGGCGTTTTTGGGATTCTTGTTATTTTATATATTGTTTATAATAATGACTGCAATTTAAAATTAATGAATTGATTGTTTATAGACTTTAACCAAAAATGTTCGCACAATTGGTATTGTTTTACTCGTTCAACAGTTTTTATTAGTGAACAAAATGAATGGGTTTAACAATTATTGAGATAGTGTTTTGCGATTAAAATAAACTTTTTTAACGTTTAATTATTTTCAGAGCATTGAAGGACACGACTATCACTGAAAATAATATGTTTAGTGATTATCGGTTTGGACTTAACATAAGCGATATAATGGACAACACAAGCGCATGAAATGCAATGGAAATATAAAACAATTAATGCATTTCGTATATTAATCAACAATCAGTCAGACATTAAAAAATGGGATTCTCTTTAAAACGTCAAACAGATTGTTATCGAGAGAAATGGTAGGGAATGGCAGGCAATGGGCGCTCAATAACCGCTACAATACCTCTTCAATGATATGATAAAACGTGACGTTGTGTTGATGGGGACGATGGGTCTCATGAATGCTCACATCGGGTTCGCTCATCAAGTAATCAATTTTGAGCTTCACTTCATTCTCAATCATATTTTCCATAATTAGTTTAAAACACAAATTAATTATTTAACAGATTATAGAGTGAAACACAACAGAACTCTTAAATACGGTTTAAAACCGCATNGTTCGCTCATCAAGTAATCAATTTTGAGCTTCACTTCATTCTCAATCATATTTTCCATAATTAGTTTAAAACACAAATTAATTATTTAACAGATTATAGAGTGAAACACAACAGAACTCTTAAATACGGTTTAAAACCGCATAACTTATAGAATATTTATTTTTTAAAATTGTTTCAATTCTTCAACAAAATTATCGTTAAAATAATCACAACTAAACCCTTCACCATATATTCCTTGTATTCAATGCAAGCCCTAACTTAATAATGCTAACAATTCTGGATCTTAATAATAATTACAAATGTTTTAAATTATTGCAAAACTTATAAATATTGTAAGACATAATCCATAGAAATGAAAATCGTATGTAATATTGCGGTATAATTAGACAAAAAAGATAAATTTATTGATTACTTTACGCCCACATCAGCCTTAATACCCATTTGTGGACAAATAACTTCACACGAACTCAAATCAAAACATTTGATTAATAAGTATTGAGCCCTAAAGTTATGCTTAAATTAGTCTGAAATCGTATTCACAAAAAATATTAAAACAACAAAAAAAGGATGATTTTTCAAAAAATCATTTGTTATATAAAGCGTTGGGATTAATGAACACAGAATTCAATTCAGTTGTGAACGTAAATTGACTGAAAAATGTATGCATGAAGTTCGCTCATCAAGTAATCAATTTTGAGCTTCACTTCATTCTCAATCATATTTTCCATAATTAGTTTAAAACACAAATTAATTATTTAACAGATTATAGAGTGAAACACAACAGAACTCTTAAATACTGTTTAAAACCGCATAACTTATAGAATATTTATTTTTAAAAATTGTTTCAATTCTTCAACAAAATGATCGTTAAAATAATCACAACTAAACCCTTCACCAGTATATTCCTTGTATTCAATGCAAGCCCTAACTTAATAATGCTAACAATTCTGGATCTTAATAATAATTACAAATGTTTTAAATTATTGCAAAACTTAGGAAAACTTATAAATATTGTAAGACATAATCCATAGAAATGAAAATCGTATGTAATATTGCGGTATAATTAGACAAAAAGATAAATTTATTGATTACTTTACGCCCACATCAGTCTTAATACCCATTTGTGGACAAATAACTTCACACGAACTCAAATCAAAACATTTGATTAATAAGTATTGAGCCCTAAAGTTATGCTTAAATTAGTCTGAAATCGTATTCACAGAAAATATTAAAACAACAAAAAAAGGATGATTTTTCAAAAAATCATTTGTTATATAAAGCGTTGGGATTAATGAACACAGAATTCAATTCAGTTGCAAACGTAAATTGACTGAAAAATGTATGCATGAATTCAAATGACAGCAAAAAATAAGATATTTTTCTGAATAAAGTATCGAAAAAATAATAATAATAAATATATTTATAAATTATTCTCAACAATAAATCCTGAATTTTTGTGATAAAAATATACGATAAATATTATTTTGCTAAAGAAAATACATATAATTTTTACGACAACAGAATAAATAAATACTTTAACGCCATATAAGGCTTACAACACGAAGAAATTGTCTGTACTTTTATAAAACAAGAATTGCATTCAGTTTTTCACACACCACTCAATGATACCACACATTTGATTGCAACACAAACGCTATAAGGAGTTAACAGCAAAAGCAAAGTACTTTATATTAAAGAAAAACTTAATTAAAAGCCACTTCTCTTTAATAATGAGAAAATTATTAAATCGCTAAACAAGTGCTTCGAGTAATCAAATGATTAACAAAAAACAAATACCAAAACAAAAGCATACAAAACGTGCAAAAATAATTAATAACCAAAAGAATAATTAAGAGCTTTCAAAATAAGAGCAACAAAAATAAGAAACAAAACTTTTGCCACAATATTTGCAAACAGTTTGTATTGTAAAGACCACACAATAGAGTCAGCGCTTAATAACAGCATTTTATCTCAATTTAACAATTTATTGCTCGACAATGATTGGCAGTAATTCATCACAAATGGCAGACAATATCACAAAAATTACACGACTTTTCTACTCAATTAATTTCTCACTCAATGCTTGAGGTATGACATAAGGTATAACAAACACAAAGGTATAACGTAAGAAGTTTTGGTCTGTTTGCAGTCCGGGCTTACCGTTTGCTGATTGGATGCGTTTGGCGTTTGTTGTGATAAATGGGCGCTAAATTGATTCATTGGTTGCGATGATTGATGCGATGAAGTGATGTTTGAGTTGGTGTTGGTATACATTTCATCCATACTATTATTGAATGATATGTTCTTATTGTGAGAGCCGTTTGTCTGACAGATTGGCGACTGATTCGTAATAACAAAGTTTGGCGTCTCTCTCATGCGTTGATAATTGCCTTTCGGTGTACTCGTGGTTAACCGCTGAGGATTGGGATAATTGGATTGACCCGTTTGGCCGATTGGTGTCACCTTTTCGTTCATATCGCTGCAAACGACGGGCGTTTGCATTGTGTTGGCGCGCAATCCGTGCGCTGATGTCTGGACAACGAATGTGTTTCTATCGTTTGGTGTCATTTGTGTAGTCGTTGTCGCGCTTAAGACAACAGAGTCGTCATCGGATCCCAATTTTTCCAGCAGTTTTTGTTTCTCTTTTTGAAACTTTAACCACAAGTCCTGCGGATTGTGACCGCTATTAACATCTTTGGCACAACTATTTGGTGATAAAATGACACTTTGGTTAGCGCTGGACACGCATCGAGACTCTTCGCCCGATAGGGTCGATACGGGCGACGCCTTCTCCGAAATGGTGGGCAATCTCTGGAAACAACTCGAACTGAAGACTTCGTCGCCTTCGAAGAGCCGGTCCACTGATGTCTGCAAAGACTTGTTAACGCTTTTATTGCCGTTACTATTATTGTTGACCGAATTATTAATTGCATTGTTATTGTTGTTTGAGTTTAAGTGAAAGCCTGTTGTGGCGAAAGAGGAGCGACTCATAGCAGTCATATCGCTAATCGAGAAATTCATAATACTTTTGGTGAGTCCGTCCACTAAACCCGGTGTCAGAGATTTGGACATCAGGTCCGACGCCTTTCGGCGCGTGAAAGGAGTAGCCGAATGGGGAAACACTTTGGGTTTGATTGGTGTGACGAGTATTAGCTCAGACCACGAGGCCATCAGCGACGGCTTCTCCAGCTGTTCCACTTCCACGTTCAGTGTCTTCTGCTCGAAGGGATGTGAGAACGTGTCCATTGGTAGCGATTGAAGCCATGACAACAAACTGAGATCCGAATTATTAAAGCCGGTGCCGTCTAATACATCCGAATACTTCATTTGTGTCCACCGTTTGCCCGTAAAAGTAGACGCCTTTTGCTCGCAGTATTCAACGCACGACTCGTAAAGAATGCCTTTAATAATCAATTGCATGAGACGATCGCCTTTCGCTGTCTTCGGCGGGTTATCGGCGACAGACTTGCGGTCGACCGGCAGATACTTCTCGATGAGCGGCAAAACGGCTTTAAAGCAATTGATGCGCCAATTGCTGGGATTCCAGCGCTTATACTCTTTGAGTTGGCATAGATTGGGAACCGTTAAGAGAAGACACATCTCGTTATACTCTTCACGCGTGGGACACAAGCGCTCCAAATGGTTGAGAGTGTCGACCACATCATTGACGGCGATCTCCACGTTATGTATGGGTCCGGCCTCTGACCGGATGCACAACAACTCGATGTACTTGTGTTTGTGGATCAGATACTGGAAGCGTTTGGCGTCGAAAGCGTCCACCGCTTCGATGGGCTGTACGAACGCCAAGACGTCGTCCCACTGGCCGTCGAGTATGAGTTGCCGGAGGAATAGCAGGTCGTCGCTGAAGACACCGTTGTTGAGACCCGTCTCGCGTTCAACACTCAGCTGAGAGATCGACAGCTCTCTGACGGACAGGAACTCCAACACCAGTCGTATCACATCCTCTTCGCGGACCGCCAGCTGTTGG